AGCACGGGCTCTGGGATTGCATGGCCAGCAACCAGGTGGCCCACGTCAGCGCCGCCACCTCTGTCCACGTGCTGGGTGAGTCGCCCTGTCCCACGCCTGCTCCGTGGGTGTCCTAGGAATAGAAGGGGCAGCTGTGGGGTGCGTGACCCAGGCCCACTGCATGGAAGGGGATGGAAATGTCCCCACGCATCTCTGAGCTGCCCTTGTCTGATCCATCTGCTCTCTGTTTGCTCCACCAGGTACCAGTCCTCACGCTGTCACCAATGTCTCGGTGCTCCCACTCCTGCTGGCAGCCAACATTTCCTGGGAACCTGGGTTTGATGGAGGTTATTTCCAGAGGTTCAGCGTCTGGTACACACCGCTGTGAGTCCTACACTCATCCATCCCAGCCGGCAGCGGAGGGTCCCATCCCTCCGCTGGGAGCTCACAGGTCCCACATGTCCCCAGGGCGAAGCATCTGCCTCGGGCCCACCACGACTGGGTGTCGCTGTCGGTGCCAGCTGGGGCTCAGCACCTCTTGGTGGAGAATCTCCAGCCAGATATGAGCTACCAGTTCAGCGTCCTGGCCCAGAACAAGCTGGGCAGTGGCCCCTTCAGCCAGATTGTCACCTCCGTGCCCAGGGGTAAGAGGGGGCCACGGTCCCCCAGTTCCCCCCAGCACCTTCACACGCAGAGGAGGCTCCTGCTCTCCTCTTACCACCGCATCCCTTCCACCATCAATGTCCCCTTTCTTCCTCCTCAGGCTTCCCGCTGACCACGGTGCCTCCGGAGCCGCCTGCCATGACCGTGCGGATCTTCCTGTCCCCGCCGCGGGCTCTGACCGCCAACGAGACGGCGCGCGGGGTCCTGCTGCAGTGGGAGCCCCCGGGTCAGTTCTCGGTGGCGCTGAGCGGCTACGCGCTGGAGCTGCGGCAGGACAAGGGTGGCTGGGAGGTGCTGGACCGCTCCATCCCCAGCACGAAGACCCAGGTCTTGGTGCCAGGACTCATCAAGGTGCAGTTATTGAGGGGTATCCTCACCCAGAGATGCAACAAGGAGCGGGTTGGCCCCTGGCAGGGGCCGGTGGTGCTGCTGCCCAGTGCTGGGAGAAGCTGTTGGGACCGTGGCGATGCAGCAGGTCCGCTCGGCTCCGTAGCCTGGTGGGCTGAGGTTTTCCGGCCGCCGTGCCGGGGCTGACGGCTCCCCCCGCTCCCGC